TACTGTTAGTGATGGATGTGATCTCTTCTGATGTGATGACCCTCTCGTTTATGGTCTATTATCTCCTTGGCACAAGCATACTTACGTGAAAGCAACAAGCAAATCCTTCAAGTTAGATGTACCATGGGGGGAGCACGTATATTGTACTCGTAATGGTGGACTTGTGGAACGGGGAGATGTAAACTTCAAATTGCATAACTGGTCAAGGCAGTGTGGACCGGAGCATTATGTTGCACTTCCATTACTTGGGTGTGTGAAGGATGATTTGTTGTGCCTGGAGAAATTTGTGATTCGCAATGCTAGTGCCTTTCTCAATTCACGGGATGGACCCTCTCACCGAAGTAAGTGCGGGTCAGGGAAGCGAGAGAGGAGTAATTGGAGAAAAGGACTGCAGGCGAAGGAGGTGGCCATGATCAGAAAGGATTATAAGGCACATATGCATTTGCGTTTCACTACAGACGAAGATTTTTGGACTAGTCTGCTGAGAGTAGTCGAGGACGCATGGATTAATGGTAGGACGCATCTGGTGGTGGAATGCATGGGAGGTGGAATGCTGACGGATCAATGGAAGGTGTTGAAGCGTTGTTTTGGTGGATCGATTGTTGAAGTCGTACATGGTGCATCACGCTGAAGAAAGTTCGGGGTTGGCTGACTCACTGCATGGCATTGCATTTTCTGACGATATCCTATATCTGTTCAAGTTTGCTCTGTCCCAAACCTACTCTACTGACCTTCCTCAAAGATCCGTTTGGTCGTACGAGTGATGTTCAATGCTTCCCTCAGTAAATGTGCTATTCGGAAGACATGCTGTCATTGTTGTGAACTCATACACGGGATGGACGCACCCGGTTGTGTGAGGGACATCGTGGCTACGAGGATGAGGCTGGTGTGGGTGAAGAACCAAAGTGTGGGCCCAGGAAGTGTTGTTCAACTTTCGTGAGGCTTCCAGACAAGTTAATCATTTTTGTTCTTGTTCTGAGATTGATCGGTCTTACGGTCTCTTACCCACGAGTTCATAGTCACGTCTGTTTTCGTATGTCTATGGTTGACTTTGTGCCCACCTTCCTAAAGCACTCGCGTAATATCCCTTGTCCTTTCCGTGCTGCCTCGTGTCGTGGGTTGGCGCATCAGATTGTATTGTCTTTCGACCAGCTGTCTTTCCAACCAAGTCTGAAGGAAGGGAATATTGGGAGCAATCTGTTGGAGTCGTGTTTCAATAATACATCTATTGAGTTGCGAGAGGGGGGGGATGGAGATGGGTAAGTTTCCCCGATGGAAGCGTAGGCTTGGCAGTCCAGTTAGGAGTCCGAAAGACCACAACGCAGCTGGGGACTCCCCTGGTGTGTTGCCCTCTTGTGTACAGAGGAAGCATGGAGAGGTTATTTTTGAGCGATCCGGGTTTTGTTGTGTGTGGCAATGAAGATGAGGTTATTGGGAGTTGTGCTTCTAGATTCAGGGATGGGGGTTTCCACAATCTGGGAAAGTGGAATGGGAAAGGTATTTTGCGTCAAGCTTATTCTGTGCCAAAACACAAGGACATTGCCAAGTGGTGTCCGATATGTCCCTCACATTCGGAATGTGGGACGAGTGCGGGTAAAAAAGTACGGTATGTCCCTCACATTCGGAATGTGGGGCGACTGCGAGTAAAAAAGCGGCTCGTGCCATTAACCACCTACTCTGAGAATTGCCATGGGAGACTAAGTTCAATTTGAAGAGCATCATGATGATGGATTCGACACCACTGATGGGCTCGGTCAACAACAAGCTAGGCAAAGGGGAGCATTTTTTCTTGAGTGCTGCTTTCGACATAAAATATTTGTTCTGTAATCTGCACCATATTGTTATCATTGATGCGCTAAGGTGTGTGGTAGACTTCTGGGAGATTAGAGGCTGTTCGGGCGTGCTTGTTAGGACGAGAGGTGAGGATGCCAAATTGAAATTTGGCAGCTCGCAGTTGGAATGGAGCACAGTGTCCTTCGGCATCGTGGTGAAGTTTGTTAAAGTTCTTATCTGAAATGCACCTCAAAGTTTTTCAAAGCATGTGGCATGGTGTTCCTGAGGTCTATTTTCATGCTCTTTCCATAGTGGCGAATAGCAATAATATTCAAATGGTAAATGAGACAACTCATAAACCAAACGAATATCGACCAATACTCGAAGCCACACGACAGTAGTCTAATTCCGACTTCGGTTACTTCGTGAGTAAAATAGCAATAATATTTGAACGGTAGACGAGATGACTCATTGGCTGTTATGACGACAGTGGTCGGAAGGAGTTCTCGACGGTCTGCCCTCCTCCATCTTTTTCTTCTTGTTCCCCTTCTTCTTCTTCTTCTTCTTCTTCTGCTGCTGCTGCTGCTGCTTCTCCTATGAGTAACCATTAGATTGCTTACTTACCTGTTTGATTAAAGGCTGTAAGGACTATGTTCTCTATCTACTTCTAATTTCAATCTATACATGGGGGCACAAGACTTTTTCTTTTTATAACTAACCTATATTATTCTCACAATCTTCTTTATATATATTTTCCACATCCATCTTAGAAGACACTTTGCCAGTCAGCACCAGCATCTCTTCCAGAAGCAGAATGCACAGAAATCTGTAGACGGAGACCGGACGTCTTCAGCTCCCAGTAATCCGTGAAGTGACACCAGACGTCTTTGAGCTCCACGTTCAGGAATCAGGACCGCTCGTGGACTCCTGCCAACTCCGTCTTTTTCTTTCTTTCTCCCGGGACAACGGGACAATGCTCTATGCTCCAGTCTATTCGTGGGGAGCAACGCATGCTGGGAACCGGGACCATCGTCTTTCGTTGAAAGTACATAAAACGAATTGAGATACTGGGGCCATTACCCGGATCTCACTGACCCTTCATGTCCCTCACGAAAGTACAGAAAACGAGTTGCAGAAATACCGTTTTTCAAAAGTTCCTACGATACAGCGGCCAGCTCAGTCGGTATTACCCTCTCAGTAAGGCTCACAAGTGGCATCTAGGAGGTCGTGGGTTCAATCCACATTGGCCTCATGTACCTTTCGGGGCATGCTTGGTGTCCGCCATCCAGAGATAGACCGATCTCTGGATCCCCGAGCAGAGTCTGCTGAGATAGACCTCTGGATCCCCCGTGCGAAGACTCAATGATGTTCGTAGGGGAGGGGACCACCACCCTGTCTGAGGGTAGACACAGGGAATGGTCCTGTTGACATGGTCTCTGATGCTACCGGCTGTCCCCTGGCGGGTATGTTCTCTCGTGAACACGGTTCTGGCTGCTACGGGGTTCCCCGTATGCCTAGAACTAGGAGTACTGGTAGGTAGGTAGTGTGAGGTAAATTTTTTTTATTACTACCCTTTCCCAAAGGCTGCCTTCTCCTCATCCGGGGACAACCATACATTTCGCTCTCCCCTGCCTACCTACCACTACTCCTAAGGCTGTACAGGGGACCCCTGCAAGCATAGCTTTCCACCTCGCTTCCGTGACGGGAGGTCACCTCTCTCGGTGGAGAAAGGTACCGGCATGTTTGCCCCTTTGCCCTAGCTTTCAAGGTGCAGGGTTGGGGCCGCCGGCGGGGGGCCGGCTAACACAAGGATCGAGCATTTGCCTGTAACTGTGCCTCCCTTTTCATCTTCCCCCTCCCCCATCGAGTAACCGAAGTGTCTAATTAAGCCAACACTCTCCCACACATCACAACCAACCCACTCACACACGCACTCACACCCGTGTTGCCTGAAGACCTTACAACTAATACCGACTGCAAGGATCCAGCTGACTATCTCAGTTGGTTGGCACCAAGAGTGCCACAGGCAGCCAAATTGAGAGAAAAATGTAGCTTACTTCTCCCCCCCCCCCGCCCCCCCCCAAAACAAACGTAGTTCCTAAGCAGATTTACTGGACACTGCGGGAGTTCTTTCTTTCGCGGCAAATACACCGGCGGTACCTCCTTTTGCAACGAAGGACCCACCTACGTTGGAGGGCTTGCCTCAGGGCAGACGGATGGGGTCTCCGTGACGAAAGGGGGTATGCCCCGGTAAATCCGCTTCGAAACTTCGTATTTCGGCAACTTTCCGGTTTTTTTTTTTTTTTTTTTTTTTTGGGATCCGGGTATATTGGTGGCCAAACAGGGGAGGACCGCTATACTTGTGGGTATATTGGTGGCCATGAAGTGCTCATCTTGGGCCTCCACTCTCACCCCTGCCCACTTAGGACCGCTATACTTGTGGGTATATTGGTGGCCATGAAGTGCTCATCTCGGGGCTCCACTCTCACCCCAGCCCACTTAGCCTTATCGTTAGGTGGTTGTCTGCCAAGCCGTTGGTTGTGCGTTCGCGTCTTATATTCGGATTAAACATACAGGGAAGGACCGCTATACTAGCTACGATACTTGTCCAGACGGGTATTTCTGCAATTTGCCCAACAAGATAACACGAAACAAAGACGGAGAAGGGTTATGACAGAGCAGTCCCAGTCACACACCCGAGTGGTTTTGCTGTATAGTGGATTTTTTCTTTTCAATTATCCCGCGATTGCTGAAAATGTGGATTTCGCTTTTCAGTTATCCCGGGATTACTCCAAATGAAGTCGGTTTTCAATGCTCAAGATCGTACTGGAAGGAAAAAGTCTACGGATCTGCGGGATTTATGTTCGTGAATCTCTCTGCTCCCTTTATCGTTAAAACTTAAAATACGTATTACTCGGTCATTTTCATCTTACAACCTAAAGACTACCAAAATAGGAACACACAAACACACACACACACACACACACACACACACACACAGATAGATAGAGAGAGAGAGAGAGCGAGAGATAGATAGATAGATAGAGAGAGAGAGAGAGCGAGCGAGAGAGAGAGAGAGAGAGAGAGAGAGAGAGAGAGAGAGAGAGAGAGAGAGAGAGAGAGATTGAACACGTGGCATGATAAAAAAGAGTGATAGATGATACTCATGCAATAGGAGTCCAGCACAAACCAATTTATTGTCTGAGCACGGAGAACAGAGGAGCTCACAAAATGTAATACGTTGATTGCTGCGGGATAATAAGCAAAACAAAATGAACCACGACACCGACCTATCAACTACCACCATCCAAACTAAGTCTTCAAAAAATTCTGACAAGCGCAAATTTGCCAAAGAATTCTGCTCACGATCAGAACAATTGTCATCATTCCAAAAGAACTCGAGAAAATTCAGAAAAAATGGTGAAGCATCTCTCCACGTCTGCCACATGGCCAACTTCCGTCTTCTTAAGTTTCGCCTAACCCATTCTTGACCAAAGGAACCCCATAAAAACTTCTTAACCAAAGTAACTCTGCAAAATACCAACTTTTGACTGAAGCAACCCTTGCAGACGACAACAGTTACTCTGAAGCACCTCAGCCGTATCCGCATGTGTTAAAATTTCGAATTGATAAAACGAAGTGCCAGATCTCCTAGACGCATCCTTGGCAAGGGCACCTGGAAAACTCCTTGCCTCAAAAAAAAAAATAAAAAAAAATCCTTTCCTATCATAAACCGATATTATCCCAAAGTTCCCAACCCATAGTGAAGAACCTTCTCAAAACAAATGGCAGCATCTCTCCACGTCTGTCACTTCCGTCTTCTTCCACACATCCTTGGGTCATACCCTTCGAAACTCATCACCAAGTACAAGAGCGCTACTCCATTGTGTCTTCAATGCTCTTCATCGCCCAACTACAGCGCTTCTGAATTGTGTCTTTGTGTCTTCAATGCTCTTCATCGACCAACTACAGCGCTTCTGAATTGTGTCGTCGTCCACCAACTATAGCGCTACTGAATTGTCCTTATCCACCAAGTACTAGAGCGCTACTCGATTGTGTCTTCAATGCTCTTCATCGCTCAACTACAGCGCTTCTGAATTGTGTCTTCATCCACCAACCAGATCGCTAGTGGATTGTGTCTACAGTCACGGTGCCCGCCTTTCCTAAGTGCCCTTGATGATGGAATCGGCCAAATTCTTCTCGTCCAAAAGCTCGGCCGCAGTGGCGTCCATCTTACCCCTCGAAAAGTCGTCAATCGACAGACCTGCAGTAAACCATGATTTCAACGACAGTCGTCAGCGAACTTCAACGACAGATCAACACCACCGCTTCCCCCCAAAACAAACAAAGACAACAACAAAACACCACACTGCACACACAAAAAAGAACACCCACTGCACACATAGCAACACGCCAATAATAATGCAGTAAGAGATATGCTTTCGACTCCTAACCAGCCAACGGCAAGTACGGTACAAACAAAAACACAACATGAAACAAGGGAAGAGTTGTAGATCCCCTCCCCCCCCCAACAAAACGTTTGTGGTCGTTTATGCCCAGACGGTGGCAGGTGGCTGGTGGAAAAAGTCAAGGTTGGAGGGATCAATCAGTCAATCAATCAATCAATCAATCAATCAATCAATCAATCAAAGTTGCCGTACCACCGAACGTTTCCCCACAAACGCCGGTTCCGCTATTGTGAGTATGCGCAGAGACTAACGGAAGAGGTCGATAAAAATAGCACAGCGAGAGGGATCAACCAATCAATAAATCAATCAATCAAATCAAGGTCCATCAATCAATCAAGGCAAAGGACAGGCGAGGAGAAGCGATGATCACCTTGGACGATTTCCCACTCGCCGCTCTTACAGGTGACAGGGAAGGAGTAGATGAGACCCGCAGGCACGCCGTACGATCCGTCGGAGTAAACTCCCATGGAAACCCAAGTACCCTCCGGTGTTCCATTCAGCCAATTGTACACGTGGTTGCATGCGGCGCTGGCAGCTGATAGAGCGCTGGAGAATTTCCTGGCCTTGATGATCTCAGCTCCCCGCTGCTGGACGGTCTTGATGAACGCCCCGTTCAACCTGAAACACAGGAAACAAACACTTTTCAAAACCTGCCACAAACTCTAGCTTCATTTTCCTGGACAAGAGACACTTGAAGATCGAATTAAATCTCACGGTGAAACTTTGCAAAAGAGCGAGCGAACGAGCGAGCGAGCGAGAGAGAGAGAGAAAGAGAGAGAGAGAGAGAGAGAGAGAGAGAGAGAGAGAGAGA